TAAATTTGCCATGTGTTAGCTGGGCTACTGAGGCTGTGCATGCTTTCATCATGTGGTAAATGTGAAGTAGTATGATAAGACCTGCAATAAAAAAAATAAAGTTGCTTTACTTTGCGTATGATATAAGCTAAGATCATGTATGTGTCATAATAAAAGATCAACAGAGATGGACAACCTGACTGTTACTGAGATCCATCACAAATAATTTTTTGGTATCATTTGAATCATTGAGACTACTTCTTCTTTCCTGCAACCATCTTCCACCATAACATCCAAATGACTCTGCCTCTTAAGCTCTTGGAATTGCTGTATTGTTTGAATTTTCATTACAGTTTTGGTATTTATAAAGTAAATTCTCAATATAATTTTGCAGCTTTTTTTTAAAGTAGCATGTATTTACTTTATCCACTTTATGTTGCCTTAATTCCATAGTGACTGGGGCATCTACTGCTTACAGTGGCCTATATCTTCATTTGAATCCACTGAAATGGAGCTGTAATTAAGGAACGTTTTTTAATCCTTTTGGGATTTTTTTTCCGTAAAAGGTTAACATGCTATAAATTAGACCTAAATCTAAATTAATTAGACAAATTAATTTGACCCACTTTGTGTTTAAAAATTCCCTTTTAGGGTTACTTTTTATAAACTTCCTATGGGCTTCAGAAAAAATTGTATTGTTAACTGAGATTTGTTAATCTTTCCTTTAGAACAGTCTTGGGTTTGCTGACTCTGTCCATACATTGTTGCAGTCTAACTTGATCTATTATTTAACTAGCACAAAATGTGGCAATCCACAGCAAAATGGTAGGTTGTCTGCCTGTTTTAATAAATCCCACATACCTGATGTGTGGAATTGAGGCTTTTTCCCTTCTAGGGAGAGATCAGTCTAACAGATAATCTTAATCTTTGTCTTCAAGGGAAATAATTATAAAATTAGATTACTTATTTGTAACACTCAAATGTGTGTTCCTGTGTATACATATATGCTTGAGGTTAAGCAGTGTATTCAGAAGGGTATATGCGTTTTCTTAACGCATGAAGGTAAAATAAGGACAGTCTATCTTCTGTGCATCTCAACTGCCTTAACTTTCAATGGAATGCCTCTGCTACTTTAAAAATGAAAGACTGGATCAGCAAAAACTTTGTCCTGTTTCTTTTATGTCAGCCTTTTATAGATTTCATTTCAAAAATTCATGCTTTTGCCAAAAAAATACTTCCCTTCAAATAGTCATAAAAGCTTCAAGTATTGTCCTTAGTCCAATGGATAATGCCAGCCAAGGATGCTCTTACTGTTTTTACTGGTCAAATGAATCCTGTGTTCTCTGGGAGCCTTTAATCTGAAAATAAGACTTGATGAATCAATAGAAATAGGTGAAAAAAAAAAAATGCATCCCTTGGATAAATGTGTCAACTATGGATTTGGAGTATCTAGGATTCCTCTGAACACTTAAAACATGGGTTTCTTGCTTTGAACAGTCAATATTAGCACAGGCATTTGTGCTATTAATGGGGCTCCGTAGGGAATGGTTACTATTGTCAGCCCCGCTGAAGTATGAGACATTGCAAAAGCCTTTGTCCGCCTTCACAGGAATGAAAGTAGGGCTAGTAGATTGTGTGATTCTGTAGGAACTGATGAAGTCGTTGCTTCAATAATTGTGGTAGGACTAGCCTTTGTGTTTGTTAGCACACAATATTGTCCTTAAAAGCCTCACTTCACAGCGGAGTTTGACACACAGCCTATACCATTCCGAGGCCACTAATCCGTATTGTCATCGTTATACCTTTAGAGACCATCAGTGCTGGTCGGAAAGAGTTGGTGTTTAGCTAAATGGACTTTCTTCATGACAGTTCTTCCTATTTCTTTGTTGATACAGGATAACAGAATGGATGAGGTTTCAGTGGACCTTTGGAGATCATCAAGTCCAACCTCCTTTGCTCAAAGTAGTGAAAACTGGAACAGGTTGCTCAGAATCTTGTCCAACTGGGTTTTGAGTACCTCCAGGGATGGAGACTCCTCAGCTGCTCTGGGCAACCTGTTGCAGTATTCAATCACCCTTTCACGAAATGACATTTAAACCCTTTTTTTAGTGTATTTCAATTTGTGCCCATTGCCTCTTACCCTGTCAGAGGACACCAATGAGAAGAGCCTGGCTCTGTCTTCTTTACTCCCTCCCCTCAGATGAGTATCTACATTCATAAAATCCCCGGGAGCCTTCTCTTTTCCAGGCTTAAGAGTCCCAGTTCTCTTGGGCTCTCCTCATGTGAGAGATGCTCTGGTTCGTCCATCAACTTTGTGGCCCTTTCCCAAACTCTCTCTAGTATGTCCATGTGTCTGTTGTGCTGGGGAGCCCTGTGCTCCAAATGTGTATCACCAGGGTCAAGCACAGGGGAAGATCACCTCCCTTGACCTGCTGGCGATCTGGGGGCTGTTGGCTAACTTTGCTGCAAGGGCACGTGTGGCTGGCTTACGTTCCCCCGGGTCACCAAGACACCCAGGGCTTTTTCTGCAAAGCTGCTTTCCAGCTGTCTGGCCCCTGTCCGTGCTGGTGCGGGGGTGGTTTGTCCCCAGGGGCCGGACTTGGCCTTGACCTTGCCCTTTAAACTTCCTGTGATTCCTGTGTTGTCCCACATCTCCTGCCTCTTGGTGTCCCTGTGAATGGCAGCGCAACCCTCTGGGGTATCGGCTGCTTCTCCTGGCTTTGTTATCTGCAGACGTGCTGAGGGTGAGCTCTGTCCCATCACCCACCTTCGTTAAGGAAGATTTTGAAGTGTCCTGGCCTGGGTGTTGACCCCTGGTGTACACCAGTAAGGCCAGGTCTCCAGCTGGGCTTTGTGCCACTGGTCGCAGCCCTTTGAGCCTGGCAATCGAGGCAATTTTCTGCTCCTGAGGGCTGCTCTTGCTGGTAACAACAGAAGCAAAGGCAGCAGCGAATACCTCGGCCTTTTCCTTACCTCCTGTCAGCAGGTCCTGTCAGCCATGACAGTAGTCTGGTCGTGTGAGCTATGCTGCTATGTCTCGGTGAGATCATAGCCCTGCAACTGCACCCAGACCACTAATTCCTCCTGCTTGGTTGCCATGCTGTGTGTGTGTTGGTGTATGGGCACTTCACAGAGGCACCCAGTCATGCTTATTTGCTAGAAGATGTATTAGAGCTTCCCCCATCATGCTGTCCTGCAGGCAGTGCTTTATATCTGTGCTTATCTTTGAGGTGAAGCCCTGGTTAGCTCTTTTTTTGTTTACAAGGTCTCTCTTGCCTACATCGCTCTGTACCCTTTACTTGCCAACCCGGTCTGCCACTTCCTCACTTGGCTGTGGGTTGTCATCTACCTCCCCTGATGTTGCTGGTGTCCTTCTCAGGGAGCTGCCCCAACTTTCTGCCTGCCAGGAGAAACCTTCTAGTGGAACTACTGCTGCATTGTACCTCCTAGGGGCTTACAGCTACTACTTCTGTTTTCTCCAGAAATTAAATCTACCCCTGTGTGGCTTGTAATTCCTTAGCCCTTCTTTATTCCCGTTTTATCCTCAGAAAGCATTGTTTTTGTATGCTTTGCACAAACTTGCGTATCTTTGTGGGGTTGTAAGACGAGATTGCCCTAACTGGTTCCCCATGGTTTCACCTGACCAGGTCATTTATTTAATGATGGTGCTAGTTGGGGGTGGGGGGTGGGTGGGTGGAAAATGTCTGGCTGCTTATGCTGTTATTGTGTATTTAAATGATTCCAGAAGTTGCTGGACAGCCTGTTCAGTTTTATTCCTTTTACTGCTCATGTCTGAATAGTCATTTCCTCAAAACCATGTCCTATGCACTGAAAGATTTTGATCATTCTTCAAGTAAAGCCTTGCTTTTCCCCCCTTCCCCTTGCTTTGGGGGCTTATAGTGAGCTTTCAATGTTATCATGGCTGGTTCTTTTCCCTTTAGGCTTCTTAAAATTCTCTGAATGTGTTCCACTACAGGCTGAATTTCAGAACAAAATATTTGTATTTGTGTTATACAAGGAAATTCTTCCCTTCCCCTCTTTTCCTTGGTTGTCATTCATCAACAAGCCAATACTTGAGTGTCAGTACTTCATAACTAATTTTAAACTGACAAAGCAAAACTTGATGGGATATCTCACATGACTGAACACTTCAATAAGTGAGTATTAGTTTTCCCCTCAGAGGAGTATTTAATTTTGCCGTTGTTTGAAATCCGTGGTCACATTTGGATAAGCTGATGTGTATTGTTGAAGAGTTTACCTATGCCTAGGTTATCCCCCACAGCATGCTCTTTTAACTTTTAATAGTTTTGCATCTTAATGATATGTTGCTCTTTTGTTTCAGAATAGCCCTTCCAAGTGACAGTTGTTCTTAAGTGTTTTCTCAAAAATTAAGAGAAATCAGAAATTAATTTCAAAAGCCACTCTGTATCTCTTGTGTTCAAGTCAGTGCTGATGATCTTGCTGTGTCTCAGATTGTCCAGGATGTTGGGCAGGGGAGTCCATCTTAGGCTACATGCTGAGGCAGCAGGCTCATTGTCTTGCAGTTGCCATGGTGGGGGAGGATTGAAAGGTTTTCCATCAGCCTTTATTTCAGTGACCTTTTCCAAGTTAGGTGTAGCAGTTGACTAGGAAAAACCTAAACAGTCATTTCTCTTGAGTGAGTCCATACAGTTTTCTCTCAAGTTCTGTAAGCTGAAAAATAAATTGAAATTGGGGAGATAATGTTTTCTGTTTTCAAAATGCCATTTCTGCAAATCTTTGACTTACTGAGCTTCCCACGCAATACATACTTGGAATTTATTAAAGTGCTGTGCATGAAGACTCCCATGCTTAATGCTTCCAGCAGCTTGCATAAGTGAGGTAGAATAAAAGTTCAAGGTAATGTCAACATGTAAAATGTTAAGGAGTAAAAGCATGATAAGATTCTTTAAATATTCACAGGGACTTAATTTTCATCATCTGCTTAATGCTGTGACTACATCGTTTTCACAAACTGTGTTTGCTTATTCTTTCAGGCTGCAGGTTTTGGAACGGATGTTGGAAGATGTTAGCTGTGGATACTGGGGTTGTGGAGGAGTGGTTATCAGAGTTCAAGGTAATATACTCTAAGATATTTAGCCAGTAGTGTTTGAATTGCTGCCGGAGCAGTATGAAGGAGTACTTGATTGCTGTAGAAAATGAAGGAAAAATAGTAAAATAGTAACCTTGGATTTTGCTGAGATAATGTGATATATACAATTGTCTGCTTGAAAGGATTTTTTTCCTTGCCTCTTTGGGATTACATACTTCCTGATACAGAGCAGTGAAAACGTGTGTCATAGATGAATGGTCTTGTTGGTTTGAGTACAGACTAGACTTGTTTATAGGTTTTGCTCCTGGTCTGCTTAGATACACTGGTAATGTGTTTTCCTATCTGTATAGTGGAGTATGATCTCCTTTGAAGAAGTGTGGATAAGAAATACTGTGAGAGCTATGAATAGTAAGTTTTAATGTAAGCTTCCACAGGGTTGTTAAAAAGATTACGTTTTTACCCTCTTCAGTACTGGCAGAAAATCTGTTTACTGTTAGAGAAGAGCTGTTCGTGTCAACTGGAATTTGTGTCCTTTCAGAGTAATACTATATCCTGTAATAACGTTCGCTACCTGTGTACACTTACTCTTGAGAACTCCTTAAAGTATGGATCTACAAAATGCCAAGTTTCACAGTACTGAAATTTCACAGTGAATTTTCAGTGGGGTTGCACCTGTGAAACTCTTGTTTTTTATTTGTATCCTATCCACTATGATTATCATTTTGCAGACAGTTTCATACAGAATGTAAAATGCAGTGTGTTTTCTGGCAATTTTGTTGTCCCGAAAACATGTTGATTTCTGTAGTAAGGATTTCTTTGTGAAACAAGTTTTAATTTATAGTAAATTCTGATAAATAATAACTTGTAATGGAAAATTGTTATTGAAATAGCTGTTTTATTTTAATGATAAAAATTGCTTTTTCTAGTAGTTATAATATTTTTATTTCAGACACTGCCAGAAGCATCCATATCCAGCTATGCTACAAACTTGAAAGACAAGAGTGCTTTGATTTCATCTCTTTACAAAGTAATTCAGGAGCCACAGAGTGAAGTGAGTATATCTGATCCCTCACAAAATGTCTGACCTAACACCAGCAGAATAAATAAGACCTTGTGTGGTAGTTAATTGTGTTCTAACTTAGTTAATTGTGTTCTAACTATGTGAACTACAGAACTACACAAAGAGTCTCCATCAGAATGTTTGTTCTTAGCAATGGCATACTATCACAGAAACAATCTGTAAGTTTTGTGACCTACTGATCATAGCTAAGCCTGTCATACTTGATCATACTCATGGGGTTCAGGACATGGTTATAGAATTGAGAAATAAGTTAAGGAATTGAAAAGATGTTTGAGACTGACAGAATTCTTCCTGTAATTCAGTATCACTTGAGTGTGAATCTATAGCTATCATAACATTGTTTATTACAACCCAAGAGAACAACGTTAGATAGGTTTGCAATCCTTTTAAGTTATTGCTTAGGTTTTAGTTTTTTTGTTGTTGTTTTAAATACATACAATATAAATATACGCATTTATACAGTGGATGTACCCTTGCTGAAGTGATGGCAAAAAAAAAAAAATAATTGTGGGGAAAGGGGCAGGTTTGCTCTGTACCTGCACCAGGAATGATTCCATACCCCACGACTGCACTAGTTTTAAAGTGTCCAGGTGAGTTCAGAACATACAGAGCTGGTTTTAGTTGTGTCTTGCTAACTGTATTGTCTCACTTTCTACCATCCAGCAAACCTTGTGTGTAATATTTAAATTGCACCAAGTCCTTAATTCCTCTTGTGAAAAGACCCAGCATAAGGAACCTTTCCAAAGTTTGAGATGATGTCAGTAGTGGTCAGAGGATAAAATGCTTTCAGTATACACCTTTTTTAGAGAGAGTGCTGAGAGAGAAACTCCCAGGTTATCCAGCAAAGAAGAAATGTAATTTTACTTTGCTGATCAGAAAGAAGTTCTGAGTCATTCCAACTACTGAGTCAATCCTGTCTGGTCTTCAGAATGCGCATCAACATGGAAATTAATCTGATGAGTCTCCCTGTTGATAGCCAAATTAACACATTCATATGTTCTTTGATTTCTTACTACTTCTGGCTATCACTAGGTTTCTTGGGGACCTTAGTAGCAGGGTGGTTAAGGCCCTGCAAATTCTGTTTGAAAAGGTTGTTGGTATAATTCTGGGGGCAAGGTATTGAAGATTTATTTCCCTGTTAGTGAGACTTTGAGTTGAAATGAAAAGCCAGTGCTGACACTGAGTGTTATGCTGTCCTGGGAAAACAGTCCTAAAATCTTTATTCGGACCATTCTCGGAGTACCTGTCACTTTGTAAGGGCTACTTGGAGCTTTCTGCATTGTGAAAATACTTATAAACTAGCAGTTAAAAAGACAAGTAATTTATTTCAACTGTTATTTGAGATCTGTTAGCTGCATTGTGTAATGACAACTTGCTTTACAGTGTAGGATATGTGCTGTCCTTTCTCATCTCGTGTGTATATAATGCAAAGGGGAAGGATTAATGCATGAACACTAGAAATACTGCTGAGATTAAAACCGAACCACCCCATCTGTATACCTTTGAATATATGTACTTCTAATATAATAATTATCTGTACCTTAAAATTGTGATTAATCTCATTTTGGGAGATGGATGTGTTCTTTTTTTAAGCATTTGAAAAGTCATTGTGTATTTGCATCTGTGACTGCGTTTTCCTGCTGGTTCATATTTGCTTTTCATACGGGGTTTTTTGTTTGCTTTTTCCAAAAAAATAATAGTCAATTTGTGAGGTAAATGAACTACTACTTTGCTATAGCAAGGAAATATGCAAATCATAGTAGCTTTGTTAGTAAAGACTTTGTTAGTTACTTTTGAGGTAGTTTTAAAGGACTTTTAATTGTCTCAAGAGTCTAACAGTAAAAAAAATAAAAAAAAAAAAAGCCAAACACACACAAAAAACCCAACACCAACAAAAAAATCCCTAAACAAACAAACAAAAACCCGAACCAAAACCTAAGGTTTGTTTCTTCATAAGTTCAACATTTTTTGCTTTCTACCTAAACCACTATTGCTATCCTTTTAGATAATAGCCATGCAGGCATTTGCATTGGGAAATAGAAAGTGTTTGGAGTGTCTAACACATTTGAGTGCAGTTTAAAAGGAAGAGGGATGAAATTACTTGGACATTCTTCTTTCCGGCATTAAAAATTGTCTTAGTCTAGATACGTTTTAGAACTGTTTTAGTGTAAAACAATATCTTGAAACAGCAACAATCATTAGTGCGTTTTGATACTAGGGTATAGCATGTGGTGGCATTTTGAGGAAGAAAATCTGGTTTTGTACTGATTATGCATTTAAATGTGCTGATAAAAAGCTGTCTTAACTGAGATAACGATGTGAACATGGATACCTGTCATAGCTATTTATGTGCCTTTTAAAGTTCAAGCACATCATTCTGAACTGATACTTCATTAAAGGAAGCATGCAAATTGTGTGAAATATGTTAACTGAAGATGGAAGGCACCGTAAAGTTTTCTAGAAGGATCTTTCATATTCTGCTCTTAAAACTCCTGACTAGTTTAGCTTGGCATGATCTTTTGCCTTTGCTGTAGATTTTTCATTGATGATTTTTCCAAAGACAAGCTCTAGCTGTCAGAAGCTAGAAGTTCCTCTTTTTTTGAATTGATCAGATTGTCCCAAATTACTTCTTAAAGAACCAAACCTGCTAAGATCCTTTGGGTTCAGAAGTAACTTTGGGAGGTAAGAAATATTCAATCAACTTTCTTTGTATTCAGGAGGAAAAACTTAGGAAAGCAAGCAGATTATTTTTTTTTAGCGAGCTCTTCTGGTGGTGTTGCCTCCTTTGCTGCAATAAAAAGAGGAAAATGTAGAAGAATGGATTTCGTATGTTTTTGAAAGCTTGCTTCATTGAAAAACTGAAAGTGTGACCTAGACAAATAGCAGAATAACTGAGTGTTGTAGTTAGAATAAAATGGAAAAATGATCTGTGTGTTACTAGCAATAAAGTACATATCTATATTCCAGTTTTTAAGGATTTTCAGAAAGATGTTGAGTAATACTAGCTTTCTGAAGTGGAGTAGCAATTCTAATGATTATGGTATCTTTTCTCAGTGCAATCTCTAAAATACTCTAAAATGCGTGTCTGGTTTTGATTCCATCATTTTCAGGCTGAAACTTTGGGGGATTTTGTGCAGGAATACATTTCATTACTAGCCTGGACATTCCTGGTTTTGAAATGAATTTAGAGTCTATTTCTGTGAATCCTGTAGAAGAACTTTTAAGATGAAGTAATGCTGCTTTTATATACTAGCTGGAACTGAAAATGAATTCTAAATAGCTGGAATCTCAGATTTCATTTTGTAAAATTTGCTAATATAAATGCATGGACTGTCTAGATTATTTTTCAGGGAGTAGTTTCTTAGATGATAGTATCCTCCTAATTGTTATTACTTGCAAAGAAATGATTTAGAAGATTTAATTAAAAATCTCCCTTTTTTCCTTCCCTACTCCACTTTTTGTTTTGGAAGAAATCCTTTTACAATTCCAAACTCTTATTGATGGTCTGCTGTGTTTGCTGTAAAGTATTTTTAAGTATGTGCTTTTGAGTTTTTTGCTTGAGAGTTCAGTGCCCAGTTCAGCTGGCTTTGAAAGTGCCTACTGGTTTTGACAGTATTTTCACTTGACTTAGGAAGTCTCCTACCTAGGTGACAAAATAAAAATATAACTTCCATACGTTGACACATGATGGTTAACACTATGTTTTGTCCCCTAGTGGAGGTAGGTGGTAGTACAAGAATGTGCATTAAATCTGGCAAGCCAGTGCAAACTGATGGCTTAATTGTTTCTAAATCTTTTTTAAACTTGTTCTAGCTCAATGTATTACTTCCAGTTTAATATATTACTTCCATTTATATCAGCTTAACAGATTTGATTGTAAAATTACTCTCAAGGCTTCCCATTTCCATCTCAAACCTATAAATACATTGAAGTTTCTAGAAGATTTTAATGACAGTGGAAAAGTGAACTAATTCTACTGTATACTAAGTTATTGTAATACTTTGAATTTGAGTGTTATGCAGCTCTTCTCACTTGATGGGTGAAAGCTGCTAGCGATTTGTGTGTACACTGTTGGAGATCTAGAATACCAAGATGTTTTGTTCAGGTGCTTTTCCTGTATGTTAGAGGTATTGAGGGCATGCTGTGAGGTGTGGTGATAACAAGTGTCCTTTAATTATGCCTTGGAGGCTGGAGGAAGTGAACCAAAAATGAGAGAAAGGAGCCACTGGAATTCTTTCTTCAAATGGGATGGAAGGCTCTACTTTTATCATCTGAAAGTATAAGGGATGAAAAGTGTGTAAGGTGACTTGGGTAGTTAATGCATCAGTCACTCCCTAATAGCTAAAATGTAACATGTATCATTTTACAGTTTTGTCCAAAGGATTTATCCACACTAAGTTGCAGTTTCTTGTAATGTTTTATTCATTCACAATTGTAATTTATATTTCAGCTTCTGGAGCCAGTTTGCCATCAGCTCTTTGAGTTCTATCGCAGTGGTGAGGAACAATTGCTACGATTTACGCTGCAGTTTCTACCAGAATTGATGTGGTGCTATCTTGCTGTCTCAGCCAGCAGAGATTTGCAGAGCAGTGGATGCATAGAGGCTCTTCTCCTAGGAGTTTATAACTTGGTTTGTATTCGCATGTAATTATTCAGGCCTAAAAATATTAGTGTGCTTTTGAGGGATACTATAGAGTGTTTTACTGGGGAATAATTAACAGTTTTGTTTCAGAATTGAAATGAAGTGATTGAGTATCTCAGTTTTGACTCTTCAAATTGGTGTCCATGTCAGAAATCTGCAACATGGACTCTTATTCTTTTATTTTGATGAAAGTTTTCTCTGCTCTTTTTGTGGTTCCTGGAAAGTGTTAATGCTGTAATGGCTGAAAGAGCCAAAGGAGCCCTCTTAATTTTTTTTTTTTTACTTAATTCTTGGTATGCTGATTAAACTTATATTCTGCTTGAGAGCTTTTAGAGGTGCTGCTTCTCAAGTGGTTGCCTATGTTTTGTGGGGTATTTTGACTATCTTGACTAGAAAACACATAAAAATCACTTTCAACAAATTCTTAGAATTCGACTGCTGAACAGATTGCTTAGTTTTGAGAAATTAAAGGTCTCTCTTCAATTTGTAATAACCTTGACATTTTTTCATATTTTGTGTGAAAAGATACTGTTTGTTACTAAATTACTGCTTTAAAGAACAGAATTATGAAGGAACCTTTAAGTGCACCATGTTTTAATTATACATTTAGTCTTTTTATGGCTGTTATAAAAAGCTTAGTGTTATTATGTCCACACTGGGGTTCTCTTCAGTGTAGTTTGTATGTTCTGGATGTTTTAGGAAGGCTTTTTGGGAAGTGAAACAGTGATGAACTTCAAGTCTTCTCTTCCCATTCTGAAAATCTGGAGAAGGCAGCTCCCATCCTTCTTCTAAAAATAATTGCAAGTGTCTTTACCGAGCGACTGAAAAGTGTTTTTGTTTTTTTTTTTTTCCACCCAAGAGTCTACTTAAAAAGACCTGAGCCCTTATGTTCAATTCTTCTTCAGGCAGAGTACAGGCTTCCTGTGTTTTCTCTGTGCTTAGCTGTATCTGAGAAGAAAAACATTCCTGGAAAGCGTTTGGTGTATCTTATGCCTTAAGTCAATTCAGTCCTTTTAGTTCTATGAAGAAGTCATCTAAAATGGTTGATGGATGTGGCTATAATCACTTGTCTTTCTCCTAGAGGAGATTACATTTCCAGTTAAGCTTGAAACCAGTCCAGTAATGTCGTCGTCTGTCTATGAACAGTTTCTTCCTCAATTAGTAACATAGCCAGCCATCTCCAGCTGCTTGGGGTCATAAGAATTTTACAGAAAGCTTCTATAGGAAGCTGTAGATCAACCTGATTTTTGGAAATGTTTTTTTTTTTCTCCCCCCTTCTGATTTAAGACATAATGAATGCTTATGCTAAAATAATGCCATGTTACTCATGCTGACTTCTTCCCCCCGATGTTGTATAAAATTTGTAACTTAAACAATCAAGATGGTACTGTTCTTCAGTATACGAGGTTGAAACAGTAGAGGGTGACCTGCTTAGATACTTATTTTCCCTTTAACGAGCTACTTTGTTTTCAAAAGCAAGAGGAAAGATGTAGCCTAATGCAAATAGTAATCCTTCTGTAAATATGCCAATGATCTCTTGGAACTTGAGGTAATTAACATGCTCAACAGAGTCCTGCAGTTTCTTACCAAAAGAAACTGAAAAATTAAGTATTGCTTAGAATAATTTTAAATTCACTACATTGTCAGGGGTATGGAATTATTGTGGCTGAACCTTGAGATCATGAACTGGTTTGTTCTACCTTCAGCTTGGAGACATACAGAGGTAGTGCATGCGACTGATATTTCTAGCTTTCCTGGCTGTAGGTATCAGTTTTTTAATACCCTTCAGATGTTGAAATGCACTCCTGAAACTTAATTACAAATGTGATTAGAATGAAGAATCAAAATACTGATCTTTTTAGATTTTAAAAGTTTGGATGTAGCCAGTTTCTCCTTCCTTCTCTTCCCATGTATTGAGGAAACTGTTCTCCACATTGATGCAGAAGCAATATTGAAAATTAAAGTATCAGTGATTTATGTGGAGAGTGGAGGAGCTGTATAACCCTTCAGACAGAACAGCTCTTTTTGATACTTCTCAGTCTTCCTTTACCACTTCATATTCTACTTTAAGACATGAATTTTAACAATTACTATGTGAAGTTAGTCCTTCAGCCTTCCAAGGGGTGGATGTTAGGAGACACTGAAGCTCCTGTCTGATCTCTACCTTTGGATATATGAAATCGGCTGCTGAAATCTATGGGGGGGTGGAATTCTTATGTGTTTGGTGTTGGTTATTGATCAGGTCTGCTTTGGAACTTCCAAAGTTTTTTATTTTGAGTACTTTAGTGCTCTTCTGAAATGTAGGCACATCTTTTTTTGCCTTACCCATTAGTCTTCTGCTAACTTGTAAGAGCGAGAAGTCTGCCAACGTACTGCTATGGTGGTATCTTGCAGGAATGTAGCTTCTCTAAAGCTTTGCATCCATGCTTCTTTTAGCTCTCTATAAATATGGAATTGGCAAACTTGGGCTTTTGCAAATACTATGATGTCTACTACTGTCAAACCATATGAGGCTGCAATCATTTTAGAGCTATAATATTTCCAGAACAAATCGCTGGTAGAGTCATTACTTGATGGGTAAATAGTTTTCAGAACTGAATTATTAACCTTCACAATTAGCAAATACTGTATAATTAAAAAAAAAAGATAACATTGTTTAAACATGTTGAGATTTCCAGTTAGTGTTAAGGTAGACTATGTATGCAAATGCATGTGCCCTTTGCTAAGTCATTTGAGTAGTTTTCAGAAACAAAGCAAATGCACTGTGATAGAAAGCAAATACAGAGATAGTTTCTAGCTTGTAGCTCAGATAGTTATAGTATCCCTATCTATCTCTACAATAATTTGTTGACTTTTTTATCCATTCATCCCTACCCAGCATTTAACATTTTTGAATGTCTTGTTTCTATGGCCAGACCAGGACAGTAGTACAGTGTAACTGATGTTATCTTCTGTCTTTTTCAGGAGATAGTTGACAAAGAGGGACATAGCAAAGTGCTGAGTTTCACAATTCCATCTTTGTCCAAACCATCAGTCTATCATGAAGTAAGTGATATTTACAACATAAAGTTGTTACTGATCAAGAGCAGTATGCTTTGGGGGCCTGTTTGTTAAGAATAAAAGCGAAAGGTAGTTTTAATGTGTTGCATGACGACTTGGGAACATATTTCTCAGTCTTCTGAGTCCTACTAACTGGTCTCTGAGGCCTCTTCAAGACTGATTAGTCATAACTCCATAATATCCATGTACCAACTGTGTCTTTTTTTCTTTTTTTTTTCTATTCTGAAGGCATATACCTTATCTGGTGTAAAATATCTTCTCAAATCTAAGACAGCTAAGCAGTCAGATAACCTTAAGCCTGTTGAAAATTTATGTACAAATATGGTGATGCTGATAGTTGTCTATTTTCACTTGCATTTTAGCAAGACTTCAGGCGGACATATTTTGAATGACGCTTTTTCTTTTAGCCTTCCAGCATTGGCTCCATGGCTCTCACTGAAGGAGCTTTATCGCAGCATGGTTTGTCCAGGGTTGTATACAGTGGACCTCATCCTCAGAGGGAGATGTTAACAGCACAGAACAGGTAAAATTGTATCATAGGACTTTGCTTGAGAATCACTATTGAATCTTCACTTCTTATAATTGTTAATATAGTTACAGACTGAAGGTATATAGGTATATGCTGTGTTTTGTGGTGGTTTTTTTGTTGTTGTTTTTAAACGTGTAAATGTAGATGCAGAAAGACTAGCAGCGCATATTACTACATGAAGAGGAAAAGCTTACAGAACCAAACTACTCAATTATCAATTTTATTGAAACAAAATACCAAATCTGTTCAAATAACTCCTGCAAATTTCTATATAACCTTGTTTTATTTTAAAAAATAAAATTGGTAATGTAATTCTAATGTTTCTTGTAAATTCCAGGTTTGAAGTGCTGACTTTCCTTCTGCTCTGTTACAATGCTGCCTTAAGCTATATGCCTGCAGTTTCTCTTCAGTCGTTGTGTCAAATTTGTTCAAGGTAATTTCTGTAGGTTGATTACACTTAAAATGGCATTTTCAACTTGAAATGCAATCAGTTTGAACTTTTTTTTTTTAAAAAAAAAAAAAGCTTCAGGTTCCCAAAAGCTGCCTGTAAATTTGACTTTTTCATAAGTGTTTACAGCTGCATTATTTGCTTTTAAAGTATCTCTTGTGTAACTTTGGGTTGAGATCTCAAAATGGGGACACAATGACCTGGCTTATATGCAGTGCTGTCAAGTGGAGAAGTCAAATCAAGGGAACTGTTTGCTTTTAATCATAGTAGTTGTAGGTGTGTTAACTAAATAAAATCAGAAGTGTCTTCTAAAATCTTGGTAAATTTTGCATTGCAAGCTGACTAAATATATCTGGATGCAAGTTAAAACTTTCTTGAAATTATACTAGATCTTGAAACTAGAAATATATCCATTCTTATGAATACCTTGGGTGTTTCCAAAATCTGCTGTTACTTCAAGAAACAAACTGAAAACCAACCAACCAAAAACCCACCTCAACTTTAATTACAGTGTCTATTTTTGATCCATTTCTTTTTTCAGGGAGGAAGAAGTGGTAGCAAACGTGTCTTTCTCTAGATATTTGAAACTGGACTTTGGGTTAAAGAAAAAATTAGAATGCTCTCATTAACCCGGGAAACCCAAGAGAGACCTAGAAGTCAACTACAGCAACTTTTTACCCGTCATAGTTCCCAGGTTCCTCACACAAACAAAACATGGTAATGGATGCCTGTAACATCCTCTCCTCTTCAGAGGAGCTGAGAGCACTGGAGCACTTGGCAGTATTTACAAGAGTCTTTACAAGATCTTTGTTGGATATGCTGGTTTAAATTTAAGGTAGAAAATATTTAGAAGCTAAGGATTGTGGACAGGAGACTGATGCTGCTTATTCTGCTTGATTAGGTTTTGATTATTTGGGATAAATAAGTTTTTTTTTAAAGCCTCCAGAAAATCCCAAGCAAATTACCAGTAGATGCAAGCAAGTTGTTCTGCTTCAAAATGTTAAATGCTTGGATATTGAATTATTTGATACTACACAATTCAACTTTTATCTTAGTTCTTCATTCCCTACTGTTTTTAGCATCCATGTTTCTCTGCTTACTGAAAATCTTGCCCTGACAGCATTTTAGGGATTCAAGGGAATATGTGTCAGAAGACCAGAATATCTTTCACTATCCTGTTTGGATGTGGTGCTGACAAAATTCTCAGAAGACTCTATAAAATAGCTCCTTTAATTGGTTTGAGCAGTGCTGAATTTAGTTTTCTTTTGGAAGATCTGTATGAAAGCAATCCACAATGAATGTGCTTTCTTCCAGTAAGTCTAATTCAATTTTTGTAATTTTTCTAAAGAAGTAGAAGCTTCTAGTACTTATTTACGAACATGAACTGTAAATGTGACAATTGCAGCACAAAATATTTTGTGCAGATCTCAAGTGTTGTAAATCCAGATTTTTTGCATTTGGGCATTTTCAGTTACTAAGTCTCTTTTCCTAAGTATATTACCTTACTGTGATGTAAAGTTCTGCTGATGTCATTCTAGCCTTTTTAGAGGAAGTAACTTGGATTAGAGTAGGGCTTTTTAAAACCACTCAATACTGACATTAATAGTGTCTGTATTAAGGCCTTTTCTATATAACTGTCAGTGTTAACTGATCACATTCCTACTGTGAGTTCACTATTTTGCCCCCAAAATACTTACTGATCCCTCTACAATATCATCTAGTAAATACATAAATATATACATCGGCATAAAAATGACCTGGTTAGATGGTTTTTATGTAAACTAGCATTTTTGTTTAAGCTGGACACTTACTTGCTGCTGCCTTTACCCCTCAGGCTTTACACAACTCTGAAATGCTTTTTTTAATGGATTATAAGTGTAATCTTTGAGCCAAACCATTGGTAGAAATTACGGACTATCTGGAACTGAAGTGTTGCCCAAGTTGCATAACAATAGCCTCTTCTAGGGGACAAAGAGGAGGAAAATGGGAAATGGAAATGAAAATGCAATCTGAAGTAATGTATTCCTAACAATAATAAAATTGGAGCTTAAAATCTGAATGAATAAGCAAGAATTACTTAAATACTCTGTGCTTCTGACCAACAACAATAGCAAATTTAGGGGAAAACTTGCAGTTAGTTGCAAATGAACATGCTTGGCTACTGTTGAAAATCAAAATTCAAAGCTAAGCAAAAGAATTTTTTTTTTTTCTTTTTTTAGAAATATGACTTTGAACTGTTGATTTCAGTCACTTAAATCTTGGTTTAGGCCATTCTGAGAAGTTTGTATTTAGGATTGTAGATTTCAGTGAAAATTATGACTAAATACCGATGCTCAGAGCAGGAGTTGACCAACTCTGTAAAGTAGCAGCACAAGCCTAGGTTTTATGGAATTACCTTCAATACCAGATGAGTGCCTGAGGGTATCTTAGTCTCATGAAGTTCACTAAGGCCAAGTGCAAGGTCCTGCACCTGTGTTGGGGCAATCCCTGATGTCGGTACAGGCTGAGGGATGAATGGAGTGAGAGCAGCCCTGCGGAGAAGGGCTTGGTGGTACACTGCAATATGCACTTGCAGCCCAGAAAGCCAACCGTATCCTAGATTGCATAAAAAGAAGTGTGACTAGTGGGTCGAGGGAGGTGATTCTCCCCTCTCTACTCGGCTGTCATGAGACCCCACCTGGAGTACTGTGCTCAGCTCTGGGATCCTCAGTGAAAGAAAGACAGGGACCTGTTTCATGGACTTCTGGGTCCAGTGGAGGGCCACAAAAATGGTTAGAGGGCTGGAATGTCATTCCTGTAAAGAAAGGCTGAGAGAGTTGAGGTTGTTCAGCCTAGAGAAAGGCTCCAGGAAGGACCTTATTGCAGCCCTTCAATATATGTAAGGGAGACTTATGAGAAAGATGAGAGGGGCTTTTTACGAACACCTGTAGTGATAGAACAAGGAGCAACAGTTTTAAACCTAAAGAGGGTTGATTTAGGCTGCGCATAAGGAAGACATTTTTTACGATGAGCGTGGTGAGGTACTGGAATAGGTTGCCCAGAGAAGTTGTGGATGCCCCATCATTGGAAGTGAGTGTTTATGATCAGGTTGGACAGGGCTGTGAACAACCTGATCTAGTGGAAGTTGTTCCTGCCTGTGGTATGGGGGTGGAAATTGATGATCTTTAAAGGTACCTTCTGACCCAAGCCGTTCTATGATTCTTCCTTGATAAACATCTCATGTTTTCATTTCCTTTGATGTTGTCAGTAGCGTGGCTTCCTGTCTTTCCTGATATCAGTGTTTAAAATCTTTGTTGTTGTTTTTATCTGGAGATATAGTGATATCAGCATGAAGAGTCAAATTTAGGTCCTAGTACGTACAAAGTACATACTAGGAGAGTTGCTGAGCTGTAGAGATCTTGGGGGCACTTTCTACTTTTTTTGGCTTTTTTTTTTTTTAAGTAGCTAAAGCAGAAGGTGAGTTGTGGGATAGAGAAGGAGAGGAAAAAAGTGCAGTAGGTTAGTGGCAAAGTTAGTATTAATAAAAAAAGGCTCCTGAAATCTCTATTACAAATGTAATTTGAAAGGTGCTACAATACAATCCTAACTCAATTCTTTTTTTCTGGGAAAAAAATAGATTTGAGGGGAGTTCTACAAGCTCTCTGTTGAAGCTGAAGAATTGAAGCTTTCTGAGGCTAAACCTTCTAGTCTGTCCTTTGGAGAAGGAAATACTTTGATTAACATCATTAAAGGTCATTCCAGAAGTCTAGTAATAGCCAATGAATTGAATATTTAACTACCTGTCCTGGTTTTGCTAAAACAGTACTATTTCTCTTTTCAGGAGTTTTTTCTTTCAGTGAAGTTTCTTCTAAGTAACTGCACTTTCTGAAAGTGCGGCTACTTGTTTTTCAGACACTGTCTGCTTTTCAGACTTGATAACGCTGGATATCTATAGTTGCTACTGAAGTATCAGTAGGATTGGTATGTAGAGAGACCCATGTTTATACTTACCCCTAGGAGAACCAAGGCCACTGCTGGCCCCTGTTTGTTAAGCAAGTAAAAAGTCTTAAAAAGGTCACAGCTG